TTTGATTTCTTGGAATCGCATCTACTTTGAACCTTCCACGTTCCCGAAACACCGCCGCCGCCGACGCCGCCGAACAACAACCAACAAACGAACGACGAACGATCCCGGTCCCAGTCCCAGTCGCAGTGCCGGGGGTGCATTGTATATTTGAATTTCATTTCAATTTAAATACAATTTTCTATGAAAATGCACGCACTACAAATACGTGCAATCGTTACCATCTCCAATCCCCGACCCAACCCCCCCCCACTCCTTCCTCATCACACAACACACAATCCATGGGTCTCGGGGCACCCCAGGCAGCAACAAATTGATCATGTTTTGAATGCATTTCTGTTTGATTTGAGTTCGGATTTGTGTATCCGTGAATGCAAAAGATTTTTGATAGAAGGGAGATAGAGATAGAGCGGTGATTGTGTGGGGTGGGGTGGGATTTGGTGGGATGGGGTGGGATGTGGTAGGGACCCATCTCTATATCAAGTATACTGGTATATTCCATTCATTATTTACTCAAATTTTAACTGCAAATATTTAATATATTTGTTTCAAGATCTAGAAATCGAGAAATTGGGGAGATTTTCGCAAAGAGTTAGATATCTATAAGATCACACAGATAAAAAAGATCTAGTAAATGGATAGTAAATCAGAATGTTTCAGGCCAGATATTCTTATAAGCAGCACATCAAAAATGCCCAACGAATAAAACCATAAAAATATCAACAATTTGAACCTTAATTAATATTCTTAGATGAAATGAGAAATGCTATTGATCCTATAGCTGGCTGAGTTCCTATTTAGGGAAATATATTTATATTTTTAAACAGCAAATGAATTAATCTTTTAAAGAAACAAAAGATTTTGAATGAGTCGAAATCTGGGACGTAAAAATATCTAACAAATACAATCTTTTATAGCCATGTACCAATTTGTGCTCCATGGTGAAAAATATCTTTATAGAGAGTGAGTTATTCACTTAGTTGAAACAATAATTGATGGATGAAACATTCAAAAGACTTAGAGGTTAAAAAATGTAGGTGTATGCATACGCATTTAAAATTGGATACGTAACATGGTTACATATCTTCTATATGTAATTAAGCTCTAGAAATATGCTCAAAAATTCCAATATCTTGTAGTTTAAGAATAATTTTTCTTTATAGGTTTCCAAATGAACGGGGAAAAAACCAAAACCCAAAAAAAGACCACTGCAAAATCTTTTACTACCGAATAAATATCAACAAAAGAATGAGTAATCCACTTGCAAGCGCCTGCTAATAAATAATGGAAACCCATTAAAACAAAACATTCAAAAGTCATAATTAATATCTATATAAAAAAAAACTAAATAATCCAAATAGTACTTAACATTTTCCATATGTATTTTGCGGGTGCTTTTTCGTGCATAGAAACAATTGTGAAAACTTAAATTTTGATTTACAAAAAAAGTTCCAATAGAGCGGATACCATTAGAGTTCTCTCAGTAATACCTCATAGATGTGTAAGACAGGTGTCCCCCTATGAAATTTTTCAACACACTCCTTTAATAAAACAGCTGTTGTCAGAATTTAAACTCTTAAATACCGTTTTAAGGAGCTTGTTTGTATAATAAAAGGATTATTATATTTGAAAGAAAAAAACACACACACAAAAAAAAACAATTGGAGCACAAATATTGTGCAGAAAGGTGGTGTGGTGTCCCTTTTTGTAGAGTACTTGATGGCGGATTGTTTCCGCCACTAAGTAAGCCCCCAAAATGCTTCTATAAAGAGTTTCTTTAACATTGATCCCTGGGCGTTAACTTTTTAGCCCAAATCCCTGTCGATGTACGCAATAAATGATGCTGATTCCCGATCCCCTGATGGGGTCTGAGATTGGCATAGGAATAGGTATACGTATAGGTATACGTATTGGTGTTGCATTGGCCCACACTTAAGCCAGGCGTGTTGAGGAGCTGCCTGTGTGTCCTTGATGAACACAGGCAAAGACAGATAGAGCGAGAGAGAGAGAGCGATATAGATAGTGTGTGCAACATGTGGATGGATGGATGGATGACCTTTGGGAAAATACGTGTTGATCGATGTGCACTTCTCTCTATGCACTTCTCTCGCTCTATCCCTCGCCTTCTGTGCCATTTGTTTAGAGTTCTCGACGCAGACCCTCTCACCTTTCAAATGTGGAAATTCCTTGGATCGAGGAGAAGGCCATAAGCATGCAAATAAAAATTTCACACCTTGGCCGAACGAACACAGGAGGGTGCTGTGCTGTGCTGTGCTGTGCTGCACTGCACTGCACTGAGAGGTGCACTCTGCTCGGCTGCACACTGCTGGATCGTCGTCGAAGACATCTGGGGAAATACCCAACCTGCCCGTAACATATGGACTTAGAAACGAACCAAGGATCTTATCCAGCCGATTGTCAATGAATAGAGAGAGAAAGAGGGAGGGGAGAGGGCGAGGACGAGGAAGAGAGAGAGAGGGCAAGAGCGAGAGCAAGAGAGATCTTCATGACCAAGTAGTTCCTGAAAAATCTTCACAAAAATTCATATATAATTCTTAAATCCCAGCCGCAGGTATTTAGTTCCGCCTTTTGTCTGTCTTTCGGAATTCCCAATGCTATTATTGCACCTAAGCCACTGGCCATCCATACAGAAAGAGTGACAGAGAGAGAGAGAGCATTGGCAGGAGGAGGAGGACGAGGAGGAAGAGAAGTGGGAGTAGGAGTAGGAGGAATATGCACCATTCCATCTCTCTCCCTCGCTATGTGTGTATGCCATCTCGCTCTTGATCATGCTTTTGTCGCCGCGGCGCCGCAGGTCAGCCCAGGCCAGGCCAGGGCTGCTGCCTCGCTGGCTGGCAGGCAGGCTGGCTGGAACCCAACAGCAATGCAACGTGCTCTATGCTGCCGCTGCTGCTGCCGCTGACGCTAGAAAATCCACACGCACTTTTCATTGTAGTGAATAGATTTTTCATTCGTTTTGTCTAAAGGCTGAATGGTCGCCCCGAAAACCAGCCCGAACCGACGAAACACTTGGCCGAATAGTTTTGCCCAAAGGGGAATTTGAGGAAACCTGCCTGGACTGCTGCAGGCTATAGCCTGCCGTGTCTATTCTATATACCCCCGGGGGCATTGTTCCATATACAAAAAGGTGAGTAGGAGGAGGAAGAGGAGTAGAATACAATTCTTTTTTTTTTTTTTTCGTTTTTGTTTCGCTGAGACATTGATGAATTGAAGAATGATTGCCAGTGTGCTGCAGGGCGGATCGCAGTCGGCAACTGAGAGGCACGGCTCGGTACGGTGCGGTGCGGCATGGCTCGTTTGTGTTATTCAATAGAAAAATAAATAAGTCAGACAGACATGCACTTGGCTGGGCCAGACTGACTGGCACCTTTTCCTTAATTTCTAAGAGACGCTAGGTCTGGCTCTGACAATAGATGATACACAGATACACTGATACACAGAGCAGACAGCATACAGGAGATATAGAGAGACCGAAAGAGATGATGCTCCATCGCCTCTTGCATTTAGAGTGCCTGTGGTAATTGATAGCCGGAAAATCCTAGTGTAGGGCAGACTCGATTCTGGATTCGGGACTCTTCACTGGCAAAACTCACCCGCTTTGCGCTCAGGTGTTGATAATTCGGCCATCAGGTCGGCGAGGCTCTTCTTTTGTCCACTTTCGCTTATGGGCGAGATCAGTTTTTGCGTGTACGTGAAATCCTATTAATGACCAAGCGGAATCCATCAGTCCATGAAATCGAAATGGATGGGAAAACACACACACACACACAATTGTATTGAATTGAATTGAACTGAACTGAAGCTCCCCATCCCCTTGCACTTCTCACTCACATCATCGTTGTAGAGGCGAACGGGAATGTTTTTGAAGGACTCCTGGTCGCCGTAGGGCTCCATGAGGCGTCTATTGACGGCCCAAAACTGATCGAATTTGTCATTGATCAGGCCCAGCCAGAGCTGATTGTGATCCTTCTTTTGCATGGCCGAAATGACCAGACCGCGATGTTTCAGCACATCGGCCTCCTTCAGGCAGGACATGTAATGCGATTCCAGTAGCTCCCTGCAACACAGACACACAGAGAGAAATGATAAGTGGTAAGTGGAACGTGTGGCGGTGGCAAAAAGTTTCAGTTTCGCTTAATACTTTGAATTCATTTTGACGAGCGTGTCCTCCGGAAACTTGGAAAAGTGTATTGTCAGGCCCCAGGGTGTGCAGTCCTCCTCCGGATGCAGCAGATCGTACAGCACACCTTACAGAACAGAACAGAACAGAAGAGAGCATTAGTTTTGCAATAGGAATTGGGGCCCAGGAGCCCTTATCTGCTGCCCACCAGTTGGATAGTGCAGTCGCAGCGGTGTGCCATTGTAGTCGAACCAGACGGCACCATCCTGATGCTCGGCGGCAATGTAGCGGGTGAAGTACTTTCGCACCTGTTAGGGCAAGGGTTTTTAATGGCAATTGGAATTGGCAATTGGGCGCATCCAGGGCGTGTTACCTTATCGGTGACCAGCGGCAAGTAGCTGAGGCGGGAGACCATCAGGTAGAAGGGCTCTGGCTTGATGCCCACTATCTCGTCGCGGTCCGCCTGAAAGCAGATGCCAATCTGCCCCTCCCATATCATGCGCAACACCTCGCGGTCGTGAGCCATGGCTATCTTTTGCTTAAACTTTTAATTATTATTGTTATTATTGTTTTTTTTTTTGGCCCTCGAACAGTGTAACCTGATAATAGAGATGGCACCAGAACATCGATATAGCACTGCTGGCGGTACCGATATATCGCGCACAAACGCGTTAGTGCTACGCAATTATGAGTAACATTCGTAAAATTAAAATTCGAATTAAATGGTTTTATCTCATTAGAAACAATTTGAATTAGTTAATTAATATTATTATGCCACACATGCAAGACATTAAGTGAATAATGTTTCGTATCGATCGCGCATACCTATCGATGTCGATCAGTGGCCGCATGCAACCGTGAAGCGCATAAATAAATAAAGTTATCGCCTGCTCGTTTTACATTTTAGCTGCGGTTGTGTTTTTTTTTTTCAATTTAATTACCGTGAAATGTAAATATGAAGTGGAATCTCGTTGCATATGCCAGCACAATATCGAATCTACTGCGAATTCCCCGAATTGGATGAGAACAAACGCAACGCAAAGGCCCCCACCGATCCAGTTGAGGAATATCCGAGGCGCATTGTGTGGATAGATCGGTCGACGACAACAGAGACGGGAGGGACGACAACGACAACGGCGACGGCGACGGCGACGACGACGACGACGGTGGTGTGGTGCTGAGGCGGCGCGGCGCGGTGGAACGGACGCAACACAGAATGGATGTTGAAATACCTGTTTTGGCTGGATATCTTAATGTTCCAACACAAACTGGATTTTCGCTAAATCGCATCTCAAAAAAGGTATGAAACCTGTGTGTAGCACTCCTTCCTTCCTCTATTCTGCAATTCTTTCTCCCATTCCCCGTCCCATCATCACATATATTATGCACACACCAATTGAATATATATTTTGTGTTTTTGCATTTGCATTTTGAATATTCAAATTTAAATTTGAATATTTTTGCCAAATGCGCATTTCGATAAGAGAGGAAGAGACAGGACACACAACTGCACACACACACACACGCACACACACGATCGAATGTGTGTGTGTGTGTTGGAGTTTTCACCGTGTGTATATCATCCATGTGCATGTGCATGGAGGGGATGGACATACCACCGCGTACTTGTTGCATACAAATGAAGCCTGTCAGCGGCAGAGGGAGCGGGACGTACACACATGCCATGCCATGGCTCTCTGCCGCCAACATAAGTGTCGCTGATTTGCGCACACGCACGCACACAGGGCCCCCCCACAGCTGGTCGTCGATTCATCCAGGTTTCGTGGTATTCGTTTGCATGTGTGTGTGTTTCTTATGATGTTTGTGGACAGGAAATTCTTGAGCACGCAATAAATTGGTAGAGCAGAGCTCTGGAGCACATATATGCATATTTATTTTGACGTTTCCTATGTGTGTTGCCGCCTGAGGAGTTATGTAAGAGCATCCCAGATGCTCCTAGAACAGAACTCGGAATAAAGCTTTTTAAGCTTGGCTTCAACAGCTGTTCTGTTGCACCTGCGACCTTGATGCGGCGGAGCCAAGAAGCCGCCCATTACAGGGGGGTTTAAGTAGAATCCTTTAGGTGTTGAATAGCCATAAAAGTGATCAATAGCCTGTAGCACTTTGGATTCTTCTTACCATCACACATTTCGAAAAGAATCTTATTGACATCCTTTTTGCAGAAACCATGCAGTCGATATTGCCTTCTGTTCAAGGCCAGTCGCCATGGGATTGCCCGCCTGGAGATGTGCGAGAACAAGGACGATAAGAATCCCAAGATATTCACGCTCGAGAATTGTGTGAAGATCACACAGGACCCACCGCCGGACAAGCTCATCCACATTGTCAAGCACAATGGCACGCTCACCGTCAACACCAACAGCGATGAGGAGCTTAAGGATTGGATCACAGCCCTCCAGACCGTCGCCTTTTGTGACACGGCAGCCGGGGGTCATGCCGTTCATGGCGGGGCCATCGAGGAGGATAACGACCTGTATTGCAGCTCATTTGTACGTATTTATTATATAGGAATTGGCTTTATCTGTCTGTATGGTTCGTCCCATGCCATAGTCAGACGACACTGACACTAGATCCACTGATCCACATGGCACTTGCACCTCCTCCTCCTCCTCCTCAAACAGAAAGCCGCCAACTTGATGCTGATTCTAATTCGTTTTTTTGCTTCCGTTTCTCGTGCAGGATGGACTGTTCATGATTACACTGATACCCTCGGAGGCCTCCATACGCTGCTGCATTGAACCGAAGACGTACATGCTGCAGATGACGCCCACGGAGCTGCAACTGAAATCGGAGGATCTGAACGTAACGATTGCCATGTGGCCGTATCGATTCATACGAAAGTATGGCTACCGCGATGGAAAGTTCACCTTCGAGGCGGGCCGTAAATGCACCACCGGCGAGGGGGTCTTCACGCTGGATCATACCAATCCACAGGAGGTATTTCGCTGCATGTCCGCCAAGATGAAGTCGATGAAGAAGCTGATCAGCGGCGACAGCCTCAGCACGATCGAGTGCGGCGAGAATCAGTTTAGTGCCGCCGCTGGCATGGAGCCGGGCTCCCGGAGCCCGTTGCCGCCATCGCCATCGAGCAATCTGCATGCTGGCGAATTCGAAATAAACTCCACACAGAGCTGCATATCGTTGCGGGGATTCATTAGCTCCAATGATTCGCTGAATAACTTTGCGGCGAGCAATGGCAGTGGTGGGGCGGCGGCAGCGGCTGGTGCTGGCGGTGTCGTCGCCTCGGTCACCCTCTCAGTGCCGCCCAACAGCAGCAAGCACATTCCGAACAAGCCGCCGCGCAAGCTGGGTGGCCTGGTGTCAGTCAGCGGTCCTGGCAGCCAAAACCATTGTGATAAATACAAGAATATTGTGAAATATGAACCTGTTGCCATAACGACATCCTCGCCCTCGGATGCCAACGGTAAGAATGGCGGCGGCAGTGGCTCCTCAATGGTCATCCTCAAGCCGCCCTCACCGGAGACCATCACCTCGCGCTCGGGCAGCACCTCGAGCATATCCAGCACACCGCCGGACTTGCCGCTGCGCAACGAGAGCACCAAGCCGCTGCTGGAGCGCGATTACGAGTGCATCGAGAACATAACGGAGGCATGGCGCACACGGGGCGTCGGCGATGTCCGACACTGCGAGCGCATACCCTCCATACTCTGCGACACATCGGATTTTGTCCGCCAGCGTTCCGTATCGAAGCGCAAGGAACTAGCGACCCAGTCCAGTGGCAGCAACACCCCCAAGATCATCGACATCGATATTGGGGAGGGCGTAACGTCACCGTCCCTGGCAGCGACACCAAACAACACCGTCGGTGTGCTGATGTCCTCATCGGACTCCAATTACGATCGATTGGACTTCCTGTCGCCCAACAATAAAACATCCAGCGGCTACAAGACAATCGTGAATGTAACGCTGCCCGTTAATCGATTGCGCTGCAGTCCGCCGCCGCCAAATGAATATGAATTGATTGCTAGTCCCGATACTGAGAGCTTTCGCAAGGCCGATGATAGCCATTTGGGCTATGGGGTTTTACGTAAATCAACGAATGCCAATAATAACAATAGCAACAACAACAACAACAATTGGAATCTCCAGCAACAACAACATCAACATTAGCAGCAACAATGCAACAACGAACAAAAGCAACAACGAATCTGCATTAGATCATCGCAGCTATAATGGTCTGAACTATACGATTGTCAGCAAACCGAAAAGAGTGTGAAAGTGTGTGGAGCTATTAGGTGGCTGCTTCTGCTGCAGTGTGGCAAGACAAAATAATTGTTGTAGCTCCCTAACCTAACCCTAACTCTGCCCTCCCATCAAATGTGTGTGTTCAGAGCAGGGAACCGAACCGAGAGCGATAGACAACCCCGAATCTCTGCGTAATAGATACGCGTTTCCTCAACATATTTATCTCCAGGGTTTAATCCAAGCGACAGGAAGGGCTGCAACAGGCGCAAGTATGTGTGGCTGGGATATTTTCCATCCATTTCCCCGATATTTTTTGCACACACACACACAATGCAACGGTACAGCCATTCCGATTATTGGCTCATTTTTCGCCTCTGAACTGATTGAACTGTTGGAAACATCAAGCTCTTTGGATCTTAACCCAATACATCTCCTCCAAATCGAATCAAAATCAAAATCTGTTTATTGTTTTCCGTTTTGTTTAATTTATAATCTGTGATTTATTTGTTTGTTAATTAGCTCCCAGCTCTGAACGCACTGCCCGCCACTCTGACTCTGATTTTTCGTAGCATTTTTTAAATTAAACTCAAACTCGACTCGCAGCATGAGAAGCGTTATTACAGTGAATGATCGACAGGGAAAGAGACACCAATTGAACTGAAGTGAACTGCAAAACAAAAAGAAAAACCTAAAACATTCCAGTTAATGTTTATACCAAGTTTATACCATTAGCAGCAGTACATTATATTCCTTATTCCTTACAAAATCTGTCTCTGTTCGTATCCTTTCGCTTATGCTAAATTTGTACAGCAAACGTCGGCAAACGTCATTCGATGAATGTGCTGGAATACAGTGGAAGTGGAACATTCAAGCCATCAGTCGTGTCTTTGGGTATTTTTGCGAAATTTGTCCTTAATCCATTTTGGTATTTAGTTTTAAATCGGCTGACTGCATATAGCTGCCATAGAAATATAATCCGTCATACATATATCAAGTTTGTTTTGAAGATGATTTAAAACAAAACTTTGGATATTTAAGTATTAAAAAATTCCTAAAACATAACACAAAGCTGCCATCATCAGATAGGTTTCGGTGTCTGCAGGTATATGTGGGCTCGTATTTTAATTATTCAACTGCCATAGAAAGATAGAAAGATCTAAGATCAAAGAGATCTTCAGGGTTTTCTTCTCTTTTTTTTGTTTTTATCAAAAAAGCACTGTAAATAATTTTCACACAGCACCACCCCCAGGATATCACCTCCTAACTAGTGACGAAAGTCGTAGCTTGAGGCAGGGGAAGTCTCTTCTCATCCTTGCCACACTGCCCCTACACATGCACTTCACACCACTCCTGTCCCCACCACCCAGCACCCAGCACACTCATTCCCGCCAAGCAACTCCTCGCAAAATTCGAGTTCTCAAACCAGGCGCCATCGTAGCTGGATCGTTGTAAACGACATTTATTTTTCTTCTTATCGTATTATGCAGATGTCACAAGACAAAACCGAATGAAAGTTTGGGGCAAAAAAGCATTTTACTTGGAAACAAAAAAAACACCATATTTTTTTTTTACTTACTTTACGTTTACGATTATGATTATTGTAATTATTATTTTTTTTGTGTCTGCAAACTATTATTGTGTAAATAAAGAACAAATAAAATCTAGAAAACGAAGCGAACAAACAAACAAATAAAGAAACTGTGAAAACGAATGATAAACACACGCGGTAAGAAATATCCTCAAAGTTTGATCTATAGCTCCCCTTTGTCGCTCTGTCCTGTTGCTCTTCAGCGCTCTTCTTGAGCGCCTATTCCTACCCATATACTGCCTAGCATTAGAGCTGTATCTGCTCCTCCTTTGAGCATAGGGCGGGGTACTGGGGATTGGCCTTCGTTTGGCACCCACTGCCGGCCACCGAGCAGGAGGAGTACACGGGCTTGTGCAGTGTGTTGCCCGTGGCATAGTTGCAGGCCACCAGAAAATGATGGAAGCCTTGTCGCTTGAACCGCGTCACGGCACAGCCCACGGCCACGTTCGCCTCATTGGCCATCACCGCAAAGTGCGTTATATCCCTGATGGAAAAGTAATGTGCCACAGGATCAAACAATACTCATCAAAGGGTAAACTAATCGTAGACATACGGTCCGCCTAGGTGGAAGGCTTGCAGCTGCTCTGCGGTGATGTCATTGCCCTCGGCTGCCCAATCGTCGATGGCACGTTTGAGGATCCTATCCACGGCGCTGGGAATGATCCCAGCGAATCCCGCCATATAGAGATTCTGACCGGATTTCCTGTACTTCTGGGTGTTGTGGCACTTGTCGTGCTCCAAGAGGCACTGCCTGGCATTGAGTTCGGCGAGGCGGGCCAGCTCCGGGTCCCAAGAAATGGTGGCCATGCGGCAGGCGGACCGCGGTACAGTGCCCCCGCTGCTGGCCCACTTCTGGCGCAGTGTGTTGTGGGCATGCAGCAACTGATTTTGGGCCGCCTCATCGATGTCCAGTCGAGCGGCGTCCGCGGGACACGAACGGGAAAAGCTCTTCAAAGGGAGAGAAAGACAAAAACGACCGTTAACGGAGCATGGATATGGATATGGTTGTTGGTGCGACGATGTACCCCACGATTGCGGCACCCAATGTGCACGGTGTCCACGGGGCAGAGTTCTGTGCGGCAATAGTCCTGGGATTCCACGCGGTAGGCACCCAACGCGATGCACACCACGGCAATGCATCGGAGTTGCATTGTTTTCGGTTTTTGGCCTTAGCCCTGTCGCCGAGTGGCCGCTTTATAGGGCCCATTTTGTGGGTGGGTTATCAGTGGAGCATGGCGGAATGCCCGGCGCTGGTGCCCCATACATAGCTTAATGATTCAACGGCAAACTATTTGAGAAACCCCGCTTAAAACAGTGTGGGCAAGCGGCCAAGTGACTGTAACGATAGCAATTATCGATAAATTTGCAGAGCAATTGGCGCCAATTTAAATCAAATTTTGAGCATACGAACCAACTTTATTTCCTGCCATTTTGATTATATAAAATGTCTATAGCAAACGGATCGCCCTCCCACGTAGCCCCGCAGCGCCCTAGCCATCCATCAAATCGATTTATGATAACTTTGTTCATGTGAATGGCGCTCGTCGTCGTTGTTGTTGTTGTTGTTGTTGCCTACTGTGGGGCTATATTTTTTACAATTTTGTTTACGCACAAAAATTTGGGTAACGTGCCGATGGCAACGTCGTCGTTACAGTACTCGGTACCCTTTTCCTTTTCGATGGGCCACAGATAAAGCCAAAATCTATTTGCCGGCTAAAAATAGCACGACAGCACAAATTTACATTAAGAATAAATAGAGTTTTGGGGGTCGAAGCTATTGATACTCTTAGCACATCGATCGTTACTATGGCAGGTTGTGGTATGTACAAATATGATATAGTGGTCCTGATCTTGGTCTTTACAACAAAAGCAAGCATTGTCACATTGCAAATATAGAAAAATATATCTATTGATCTATACCCTTTCTTAGGGTATAATTACGCTGGATATGTTGTTTGGTGCCGCCTTTCCACTTAGCACTTGAGAAGCACGACAGCATCAGGGTTAAAGTATGGGAAACATTTACAATGGTGTGGATTACACACAAAATATATACATGTGTGTGTGCGTGTGTGTTTGCCCCAAAGAGTTTTAGAAGATTTGTTTAGATTATTTTCGGTTTTTCTCTCCTTCTCCTTAGAATGATATTTTGTTGTCGAAGGTCGTCGATTGCAACATTAATTGAATCCTATAACATTACCTACCATTAACAGATCTTACATACGGAAAAATGTACCTCTGTTAACTAACAGACCGGCACAGAGCCTCTCAAACTGTGGCCACAAACGTAAGCAAATCAATAATAATGTTATTTACCCATTTTATTTACCCGAAAAATGTTGAAAAGCAGTTTCCAAATCTGTTTACGTTTTTCATTTACTTCTTATTTACCTTTTTTGTTGTTGGTGCGTGGGGGTGGGGGTCCTAATCTTAAAACTGAAACTCATTTTCATTCGCTTTTATCTCGGTTACAAAATCCTCCGATGGTCAGAAAGTCATGTGTGTGTGTGTGTGGTTGTTGTTTTGGTTGAGGGGTTTTATCAAGACCCAGACAGGGAGCGGCATAAACAGGTCGCTGATAAGGCGACCGTCAGCTGTAATTCAATTTACAACATTGGGACCCCGTTAACCTTTATGCGGTTCTAGAATTTCAAATTGAAAGTATTTTCTAGGTACTGCCCGAAAAGAAGAACTCAACAAGTGGAAGAGCTCTAGTCCACATAACGACGATAGAATACCCTGTTATTCTAGCAATGGAACAGTTTATTAGGAAAATTTCACTGCCTAATTTTCCAATACTTACATATGCATAAATATATACGTGTGTACATATGTTTCTATTGCTTAAACACTGAATCGATACGCTACGAAAGGATCCCAAACCAGACAGACCCAAGCAGTCTCTCACGGTCGAACTCGCTCCAGTTGAATATCAAAGTAAAATCTTAATTTGACCCAACATAGCCACAAGCCCCACCTAGTGCAGGGTTTCAAAAGGATGCGTTGCAAACAGGCACGTAGGCTCTTCTTAGCTGTTATACTGCCGGTGCAGGCAACTGGAAAGCGCACACGGACACCCTGTCTCTGTCTCCCTCTCACACACTCTCACTCACACGAACGACGCAATTAAATTTTCTGTCACTTTATGTAAAGAGCGGTAAGTGGTGGTGGGGAGGGCACAATAGAAACCACGCCACGCTACGCCTTTTTACGGTGACAAGCAAAGAGTTCTCTGCCGCCCTATGCTGCAGCCTCTGTCGCCGGTGTGACGACGTGCCAAAATCCGCATACAAAAATACGGCCGGCGCACGCTGCGCTTCTGCTGGCGCTGCAGTGGATCATGGATGGGATGGAATGGATCGTTCGTTTAAATAGCATCCACATGTTCATACATATGTACATCTGTTGCCTCTGAGCCGAGATGGGGGGCAACCACGTACACCAAAATAAAAATAAAGAGAAACAAAACAAAATAACAAAAACAAAAACAGAACAAAAACAATTTAAATGGCGTTGCGGAAATCTCAACTGGCACTAAAATTGCGCGAGTGTGCGTGGACTGGACCTTGAAAAGAGCGACGAAGAGCAAGAAGCCGACTAGAAACTAGAAACGAAAACGCGAATTCTACAGCAGCCGCTGGAGCCGGACAAGGTCTCCCTTTTTGGATTCGCTCCACTCACGCATTACATGTACATGTGTATTTACGTATGGGCAGACAACAAGATCCACATACTGATTAGCCCGGCGGCACACGCCCCAGACCCCACTACCGAACTATTTCTCAGGCCTAGACATCAGCCCCCAATTAATTCCGAAACCCAGAACCCAGCCCCAAGCCAGGCATGGCTTTACATTCACGGTTTTACGTTTATTACGCATTTAATTGTCGTTTTTTTACACGTTTTTGGCAAGCCTTTGATTTTCATGTGTATCATGTCTGCTGTAACGTCAGCTGACTGCTGTGGCTCCTGTCCACGAGGGGTGGAGGGTTTCAATGTGCTGTTTGCGGGCGCAGGAGCAGTTGCAGCCTCAAAAAAAGTGTAATTTATGTATTGATAGCATGCACATGCTAAAACGGAAAGAGACGGAGACTGTTGCAGTTGCAGTCAACCATGTTTGTTGCTAGGCCTGGCGCCTGGTTTGTTACGTGACGTTTTATCAGTCGCCCCGAGTCTCGAGGTGCACCGTTGTTCTTGTACACGTCGTCCACCCAACAACTGGTTTTCGTTCATGCGTGTACATGCATCATGAACGTGCAATTTGCCAGGAGAGTGCTACGTAGTTTTTAAGAGCGTAGTGTTTGAGAAAAGTTAGAATTTCATGAACTAGCTGTTTTCAAGTACCATTGTGCACGATTTCGCCGGACAGGATTTGTTTTGAGGATAGAAAATTATTCTACACTCCGTTGAAGATTTGAGCCAACATCATGTTACGTCGACGCATAAACCCTTCTGGAAACTTTCCACCGAACACATGTTTCGTGCTGAAGCGCCCTAAGCCTCCACAGAGTGCAGTGCACTCGTCTCTATTCAAAAACAAAACTGTAAAGTGGCGCGACGTCGACGCTGCTCTGTTGGTGGGGGCCAACCCGTTGCACTTTTGTTAGAGCAGTGCCGCTCCATTTTCTCTGCATTGATCTTGATATTCTTTCTCATTTTCCCATTTTTACATTTTTTGGAACCAAGTCCACTTAGCATATGTGCTGGGTGGAGGGAGGGGTGACAGAAAGGGGCTTTGTTTGATCAAGACCACTATATGTACAACAGAGACAGACACATACCTATATGTAACGCATGTAAAATGTGGGTGTGTGAGTGGGTAAACACATGCGTGAGGCAATGAAGTAGAACAGAAACAGTGCGTCGCCTCTGCCGGCGTTGCTGCTATGCGTGTGTTGGGCTTGGAGGGGGAGAAACGTCTACAGAGGGTAGCTCTGGTGCTGACATTTTGTCACACGCCGCGACCTAAATACGAATTTTATTATATTTTTTGTTTTTCGTTTACTTTATCAATGGTAAATTAGTCGGCTCGGCCCATTGTGCGTGCGTGAGTGTGTTTGTTTGTGTTTACATAATGCATTTTCTCCTACTGTCACTGTACCGTTTGACAGCCACTGAAAAGGCAAGTCCGCTAACGTCTGTTGGTAGCGCTTCCTTAACCGGCTTACATGGCCCCCCTCCCCCTTGACCCAACATGTCACTGCCAATGTCCATTGATGTCTATGTGTGTGTTTTCATGAATGTATGTATTGTATGCTTCTCGCAACATCGTGCCGCTGTTTTCGACTAGCAGCAGCTGTGCTCCCCGCACACCCTTCTATGTTGGCATACATACTCCTTGTCTTCTTCTCGCTCACACACATACACTTACACAAACACAAGGCAACAGCGCTCGCTCGCTCTGTCGTTACAAGCGTCGCACAGTGGTTTGTTTTCCGAAAACTCATGCAAAAATCCAATCTCGAGTTGTTGAATATATCAAATGTGTTGTTACTGTTCAATTAGGTGTTGATCAAGCTATGAACAACTTTTGATACTCTTCAATTAGGAATTGATCAAGCTATAAAACACGGTACATATAATTATATATGGACAAACAAATTTGTGTACATTTAATCGCTGTTAAAAGTTGTACCAGGGCTCGGCCAATTTCAATTTATTTTTTTAAAGATGTTTGAACTGTTAAGAAAGTTTCATCTGGCCCATATACAAAGTTATGATTTTAGCAACATGTTTTCAGAAAACTAGCCACTGTGCGTCGACGTTGACTTCGTTTCAGACCGTTTCGGGCTGCGTCAAAACATTTTCGAACGCCTCACAAAACGGTTGTCTTCGCTCCGTAAAAGAAGTTGAAGTCGAAGAAGAAGTGAAAGAAGAAGCAGAAAAAGAAGTCCAAGGGGAAAATTTGAAGTGGAAGAGAGAAAAGTGTAATACGCAAAAAACGAACTTGCAATAAACATTTTTTACAAGTTTTTAAGTGAAGTTATTTGTCCCTTCCGAAACCGGTTGTTAAATGCACAGTAAAACAATACAAACAAACAATACCAAGCAACGTTGCACATTTTCTTGATTCAGTGCATGTAAAACTGCAGGCAAAGAGACAGCGTACAAAAACAGCAACAAAAAGAAGCAGTAACAGAGAAGAAGCAACAGA